TGGCCTTATCTCGGATCCTGTGAAGATTACTCATAGATTTGCAGATTTTTTTTGTCCTCTCTTTTACCAGAAACCGAACACCTTTGTCGCTGAACATGCTGATAGCTTTTTTGCCGAGCTACACCTACTCTTTTTATCCGATGCAGCCCGAGATATCTACTATAAAAAATTTGCCACCGTTCTGGTTCCTCATTTGACGGCCTTTTTCAATTCTTTGAAGCAGGGTTCCCGGCTTTCTTTGGAGTCTCATCAGGCGCATATTACTATGATCCCTAATAAAGCTGAAGATGCCTTTGAACCGCAAGCTTTCCGACCAATCTCGCTGCTAAACGTGGACTTGAAGATTCTGGGAAAGATTCTGAGCACCCGAATTAATAAGTATTTACTCTCACTTATTCATCAGGATCAGTTTGGCTTCGTTCTGGGGCGACAAGCTGCTGATAACATCCGTAAAGTCATCCATCTCATTCATATTTTACATCGCCGCAGGATACCGGGGTTCTTTTTATCCCTAGACATTTTATAAAGCGTTAGATTCACTTTTTTGGGAATATTTGACATATACGCTATCTAGATGGGGGTTTGGTGACGCATTTCTGGCTTGCATCTTGGCTTTATATTCGTCTCCCTCGGCCTCTGTTAAATATGCAGGTTTCTTTTCCTCATCCTTCCCTATTTTCAGGGGCACGAGACAGGGATGTCCATTATCACCTGCTCTTTTTGTTCTCGCTCTTGAACCGTTAGCTGCAGACATTCGAAATCACCTGGATATTTCTGGTGTCCCCTATGCCGTCACTCAATACAAGGCCATCTTTTATGTGGATGATGTCCTTTTGGTTTTAACCAATCCTCTCATCACTCTCCCCCCAATCTCCAGGTCATATTGGACCATTTTCGACTATATCTGGCCTTCGCATCAATTTGTCTAAAACCACGGCATTGAATATTACACTCCCTGCCGACCTAGTTGAACGGTTGCAGACACAATTTCCCTACCGTTGGGCATCCCATTCTCTGGCTTATCTTGGAGTTACACTTACTTCCTCCTACTCTGCCTTATTTTCGGCTAATTATTATCCCTTATTGCGCTCTGTTACTTCCCTGCTTCATTCTTGGCAGTTTCCTTCTTTATCTTAGATTGGCTGGATACATGCTGTTAAGATGACTAACCTGCCGAAGATCCTGTACTTTATCCGTACTCTCCCTATTCATGTCCCTGCATCTTTTCTTTGTGTACTACAGAGCCGGATTCTCAGTTATATTTGGGCTCATAAAGGTCCCAGAGTGCCTAGAACCACTCTGTATACTCATAGACTACAGGGAGGTTTGGGAGTTCCACACGTTTCTAGATAATATTTGGCGGCTCAGATTTCCCAGTTGTCCCTATGCTTCATGCCACGACAGATATCCCGTTATGGGTACTCTTAGAAATACCCAACTGTGCTCCGCTTTCCTTAACTACATTGCTTTGGCTCCCGCCTAAGTTGCGCTCTCCGGATTTGAGCCCTATCATGCTTCACAGTTTAAGAACCTGGGATTCTGTAAAATATTCGGGTAATTTGATTTCATCATTCCTACCTGTTTTGCCAATTACGCATAATCCTTTATTTCTGCCAGGCCTAGAACATCCCCCTTCTTTCTCTTGGTGGACCTCCCATGGCTTTGTTATTGTACATGATTTTCTGAGCTCTCGTATGCTTCCATCTTGGGAGTCTCTTTGAGAATCAAGGGGGGTCCCACCACGGGAATATTATCAGTATTTGCAGTTGCGCCACTGGGTCCTATCCCTCCGTCGTACCTCTACATATCCTTACCGCAAAACGCCCTTTGAGCACGCTTGTCAGCATTCCCCAGGGTCCCCTGGTCACATTTCTGTAATTTATGCCTCCCTTAACAGTAGGCCCTCCTCACCACCCCTTTCTTATGTCTCTCAGTGGGAGCGAGATCTGGGTGTTTTGATTGTGGCAGAGGATTGGCGTAGGGCCTGGGGGATGGTGGCGAAATGTTCATTCAATACAGTCACTGTTGAGGCAGCCTACAAAGTTCTACTGGGGTGGTACTGGCTCCAGGCTCAGACTGCTGACTTTAATCTGACTGGCGGAGATAGGTGTTTCCGGAACTGTGGTCTACGCGGGGATGTCTTGCACATTTGGTGGTCGTGCCCGTGATTGATAGGCTTCTGGTCTAGGGTTTTTGGTTTGCTACAAACGCTATTTCATATTACGGTCTGTAGGGATGCAAAGGTGGCCCTCCTGCATTGCCCAATTTTGGGTCTGTCTAGATCTCAACAGAAATTGGCATCCTACCTATTCATTTCGGCCAAACGTGCTATAGCTCAAGCTTGTAGAACCCCTTCGGTAGCCTTCCAGGGGCTGAAGACCCGGATGAATGCTATGTTGTTCAATGAGCAGATGTCTAGCATTCTTCATGATTCTCATCGAGATTCCTTAAGGTTTGGGAACCTTGGATACGTTATTCCTTACCATCCCTGCCTCCTACTAGTTATGGCCTGCTATAGTCGCTGCCGGTGATAACCCTGGATCCGTGATCCCTCTAGTTTCCCTTCTTTCATGTTTTCTTTCTGATTCCCTTTTGTTTTGTTTTATTTTCTTTTTCTTTTCTTCTAACCTTTCTTCTTTGTTTTTTTTTTTTTTTTACGATATTATGTTGGATTACTGCTGCTATTTGGCTCGGTTTTTTTTGCCGTCCCTTCTTGATGTCATTGGACATTTCGTTATTTGACTACTACAAGTCAGCAGGATGTCTCTGTTTTATATGTTCTTGTTCTGCTCTGCCCCTGCCAGGGCATATTTTGTGCTTGTTATATTCTTAAAAACAAAACTTTCCTAATAAAAATATTGAAACAGAAAACAAGTTCATACAATTGGAAAACAATGGCCTACTTTTCTTTATAACCTGGACGTGCTCTTTAAATTGTAAAGGAACAGCAGAGCAGCACACAATCTAGCAGCCTGAATAATTGTCTGTGTCCACCCACTCCATATCTGGCTCATAAAGAGCTAAGCTTTGAAAGCTTGCATTTCAGCTCTGTAGCTGATTTTTTTTTTTTTTTTTTCTCATCTGTAATAAAGTATCAGTTATGATGTGCTAAGGAGGAGGACTGACTATTCACAGCAGCCAAAATCCAGACTTCTCTACATGTTTTCTCACAAAGGTTTGGTACCATAGAAGGTTAATTTGGTAAAGCAACCCTAATGCAAAAAAGGTGCCCTGGTGCCTTTCTCCACCCCCTTGCATGGTATCCATAGGTTGCAGTGCTGGAAGAAATGGGAGGTAGAATGCGTTGGTTGTCTGAAAGTATACTGTGTCATCGGAGCACTTTTTTTATTTGCAGTGTTTTGTTCTCTGGCTCACTTTTAAACTAATTTTTTTTTTTTGCGGTTTTTTTTTTTTTTTTTTTTTTTTTTTTTGCTTTTTATTTTGTAAATTCCGCTTTATTTGCCATTTTAGTAAATTTCTTCTACAATGTGGTGAATTTGTTTCGGTTTTTGAAAGAACTCCTATCCCTGGTGTGCAGAGATGGCATTCGCACATCATATCCTCTGTGTCATTTAAAATCTGCCAGAAATTAAGTTGTTCCCCCAATTACAGGAGGAATTTGAACTACCTCCCAAACCAATATTTCACTACTATTAATTGTGCAATTCAATTCATATATAATTCGCAATATTTTTTTTTTTTTTTTGTTCCACACTGTTTCCTGGCCTGTCAGTATGTCCAAAATTTTTGACTAAAGGTCAGTGATTTTACATTCTCAGCCCTGGAACTCGCCAACATTTCCACCCAAAGAACTGCTTATTAGTAATTATAGGAGACCTAGCAGTTTCTTAGCATGCCAGAACGTTACTACGTACACTCTGCTTCTATGCCTGGAAGATGATCCTTTTAACATGGAAGGGAACTTGTTCCCCTTCTATCACAATTTGGAAAGTATTGAATAAAGACTATTTACCACTGTTCAATGTAGCTTATGAACGCAGGAAAAAGCAGTATCCTGATCAGTTCTACATTAGCTACTGGTTCCGAATGATGGCTACTGTGGGTTTTTTTTTTTTTTTTTTTTAATTTTACCCTGATACACTCAGTTACTTGATGCAGTGAGACGAGAGAGACTAGTACAACTGTTTTGTATGTTATTGTGCTTTGTATTTCATTGACACAATCGATAGGAAAAAATATTTGCATTAAAAAATTTTGTGATTCTTTTACAGTATCTAGTGTCTGACACAATTCTGAAGGAACGCCTAGATCCCGAAACACTGGAATCACTTGGACTCATTAAACAATCCCAACAGTTCAACCAGAAGTCTGTAAAAATAAAGACCAAACTTTTGTAAGTATAGCTTAAAATCTGTGTGTAAAAGTGCTATATAAGTATAGTAAAATATATTTCAGGAGATGGTAGCACCTTTAAAAGCTGTTCATATATTTTTAAATTATGTTCTGCAGCTACAAAGCCAAACTTTCCACTGATCAATGCCATTTAGCAATGCACTTTATTATTCTACATAGCTGGTATTCTTTGAAGGAAACTGCGTCTGGTTAGCTTCATACTTGTTTGTACACAAGTGAATTTAACTGGGTTTAGTTGTTTTCTTTGTCTATTTTCTTTTAGATTATAACCAGTGTCTTCTGAGTATTTAAACCAGAACTACACTACATCTGAGCACCAAAAACGCTATTTCATTCATTTTTAATATTCAAAGAAAACTTGCCCAGCCATCCATATCTCCATGTTTTGTTTTGTTGATAAATCACTTTGAAAAACACCCCCTGGCATTTCTGGCTGTGACCATCCTGCATAAGGGCAGATGATTCATCTATCATTTACTTCCTGGAATCCATCTGCTCTTAAGGACCAGATTTGTGTTTTAAGTGAAAATCAGTATTTCCTGCTAGAAATTATTTAGAACCCCCAAACATTATACCGTATTTTTCGATCCATAAGACGCACCTGACCATAAGACGCACCTAGGTTTTAGAGGCGAAAAACAAGAAAAAAAAATATTCTGAACCAATGGACTGCAGACACAGTACAGGGGATGACCAGAGACTGCGGACACAGTACAGGGGATGACCAGAGACTGCGGACACAGTACAGGGGATGACCAGAGACTGCGGACACAGTACAGGGGATGACCAGAGACTGCGGACACAGTACAGGAGATGACCAGAGACTGCGGACACAGTACAGGAGATGACCAGAGACTGCGGACACAGTACAGGAGATGACCAGAGACTGCGGACACAGTACAGGAGATGACCAGAGACTGCGGACACAGTACAGGAGATGACCAGAGACTGCGGACACAGTACAGGAGATGACTAGAGACTGCGGACACAGTACAGGAGATGACCAGAGACTGCGGACACAGTACAGGAGATGACCAGAGACTGCGGACACAGTACAGGAGATGACCAGAGACTGCGGACACACTACAGGAGATGACCAGAGACTGCGAACATACTACAGGAGATGACCAGAGACTGCGAACATACTACAGGAGATGACGCGGACACAGTACAGGAGATGACCAGAGACTGCGGACACAGTACAGGAGATGACCAGAGACTGCGGACACAGCACAGGAGATGACCAGAGACTGCGGACACAGAACAGGAGATGACCAGAGACTGCGGACACAGCACAGGAGATGACCAGAGACTGCGGACACAGCACAGGAGATGACCAGAGACTGCGGACACAGCACAGGAGATGACCAGAGACTGCGGACACAGCACAGGAGATGACCAGAGACTGCGGACACAGCACAGGAGATGACCAGAGACTGCGGACACAGCACAGGAGATGACCAGAGACTGCGGACACAGCACAGGAGATGACCAGAGACTGCGGACACAGCACAGGAGATGACCAGAGACTGCGGACACAGCACAGGAGATGACCAGAGACTGCGGACACAGCACAGGAGATGACCAGAGACTGCGGACACAGCACAGGAGATGACCAGAGACTGCGGACACAGTACAGGGAAAATACCAGGGACACAGTACAGATGACCAGAGACTGCAGACAGTGCATTGAATAACCAGAGACTGCAGACAGTGCAGGGGATGACCAGAGACTGCTGACCTTTGGGGGGAGGGGGAGCGGGTACCTGAATTTGACAGGTACCCGCTCCCACTTCCGCGGAGTTGTCTTTCCCTCTTCTGCCCGCGCCGGCTTCTGTGACAGCCGGGTGCCCACTGCGCATGCGCAAGAAGCGCTGCGCTTTGTGAATGGCCCGGCGCCTTCTGGGACCTGTCATGTGTCCCAGAAAACACTGGACCATTCACAAAGCCCAGCACATGCGCAGTGGGCACCCGAAGCCAGCGCGGGAAGACTGTGCAGCTTGGAGCTAGGAACAGGTAAGGCCCTGCAGGAGAGAACAGCTGAGTGGCCGGCCCGGTATTCTGACATGGTGGCAGCAGAAATAACAGACCGGCCGCTTTATATTCGTTCCATAAGACGCACTGACATTTCCCCCCATTTTTGGGGGGAAAAAGTGCGTCTTATGGAGCGAAAAATACGGTATATGTTTTTGTTCGCCCTAGAGAATAAAATGGCGATCGTTGCAGTTTTTTTGTTACACGGTATTTGCACAGCGGTTTTTCAAACGCAATTTATTTACAAAAAACCCTAATGAATTTTAATGCAAACATATATATACCCGATAAAAGATTGTTACGCCGAATACATAGTTGCCTAACATGTCATGCTTTCAGATTGCACACTCTTGTGGAATGGCGACAAACTGCAAAGTGGTAGTAAAGCTGTATATTTATGTTTTACCTACAGGTAAGCCTATAACATAGACTTACCTGTAGGTACTGTAAATTATCTCCTAAATATGCACCATTTAGGAGATATTTACTTGCGTAGCCACTGGTGACGTCACCGGCGTATGCGCTCTGAAGGAACGGCATGCTCGTGCCATTCCTTCAGAGCCCTGTGCCGTAAATAGTTCCTTCTGAATGCTTGTGTGGGACCAACGTCATCGTGACTCAGCCATTCAAAGGAACCGAGCCCACGAACCCGGAAGGAAGACCAGGTAAAGATGGAAGCCCTGTCAGCGGTGACATCGTGCTGCTGGAGGGCTTTGTTTTAAGGTAAATTTCACATAGTGTGCTAGTATGCGATGCTTACTAGCACATTATAACATTGCTTTTCAGACAAAAAGTATACTACCACTTTAAGCCAGTGGTTGTCAACTTATGAGGTAAAGGGGGCCTCAATTACAGCCCTTGACAGCACCAAAGGGACGCAAATAATTTTTAATATGTAATGCTTGAGAGGACAGTCAGAAACTGCAGACCTTAACCACTAGCCTACAGGGCACTTATACCCCCTTCCTGCCCAGGCCAATTTCCAGCTTCCAGCGCTGTCACACTTTGAATGACCATTGCGCCGTCATGCAACACTGTAACCATATGAAATTTTTATCATTTTTTTTGAGACGGAGCTTTATTTTGGTGGTATTTAATCACCTCTGATATTTTTATTTTTTCTTAAACCAAAAACCACTGCAAATTTGGAAAAAAAAATATTTTTTTTTCTTAGTTTTTGTTATACAATTTTGTAAATAAGTGAGTTTTCTCCTTCACTGATGTGCGCTAACGAGGTTGCAGTGATGGGCACCGATAGGCTGCACTGATGGACTGATAGGTGGCACTGATGGGCATTGACAGGCATCACTGATGGGCACTGAAAGGCAGCACTGATACATGACACTGATAGGCAGCACTAACTGGCACTGATAGGCGGCACTGACTGGCACTGTTAGGCAGCACTGATAGGCGGCACTGATGCGCACTGATAGGCGACACTGACTGTCACTGATAGGTGGCACTGATTGGCATTGATAGGTGGCACTGATGGGTGACATTGAAAGGCAGCTCAGATAGGCACTGATATGTGGCATTGATGTGCACTAGTATCCACTGATATGTGGCATTGATGTGGCACTGATGGACACTGACAGGTGGCACTTCTGGGGCCACACTGATCATCAGGGCACACTGATCATCAGTGCCCTGATGATCAGTGTACATGTCTCCTCCGCGGAAAGCCGATTTACCGGCTCTCCTTTCCTCTCGAGCTGTCATCGTGACAGCTCGAGAGGAGAGAAATGCCGATAAACGGCGTTTCCGTGTTTACATGTGATCAGCTGTGATTGGACACAGCTGATCACATGACCGAGCCAACATCTTTTGGCTCTTTCCGTGATCCGCTGTGTCCCCTCGATCGCAGCGCTGTGCGCTCCCTGAGCCGCGCATGCGCGGTGAGAATGGAAGGATGTCATATGACGTCCTATCAGAACGAGAGAAACCACCTTGCACCCGTCGTACTATATGGCGGGCAGAAGGTGGTTAAAAAGGAAATAAGGGTCAGAGAGTGTTTGGCTGGGGATATGCTACAGAAGACCATATGAAACTGGGAACATGTTACATGAGGCTAGTAGAACTCAATGATATTATCCTAAGCAATGTTCCCACTACAGACTGAGGGACGCACATCATATGGGCTGTAGGTTGGGCATCAGGTCTTTAAGCAGTTAACAGAAATTTTTTTTTTTTTTTTTTTTTTTTGAGAGAGAGGTTTCAACTATTTAAATAAAAACTGACAATTGTAAGCAACCCTGTCAGTGGACTGAAGTAAAAAAAGTATGGTGGCTGCCATTGCTAAACACCCTCTTTTGAATATGTTCGTCCCATGCAGATCCAAAAGCTTTAGTGTTCTCTAAGCCACTGGCACATATATGTAGATCAGGGGCTCCAACTTCACTTATTTTCCTCCTGATCTCTATGCTTTTTCCCATCAGTCATTCAAATAGTATTGTGTTAAAACTAAATACAGGTGGTCCGCTAGCCTTCAGAAGGCAACATTGGCATACTCTGTATTACTCTTCTGTTTCCTGTTAATGACTAATGTGTATGGACCTTGATATGCATTGGATATGCTGTCACCATGTGGTTTTATCATACAGCATGTTTTCTATGATATCGGCATGCATTTGCTGTGCATAGATAATCACCTGTATGAATGAGCACAAATTGACCCCATTATATCCACTAGCCCTTGCTTAGGCTGACATCAATGGAAGTTATTGGAAGTCTTAATGCAGTGATGGTCAGTGTGATTTATAGGGGGCCTCATGTGTCCAACATTTCCAGAGGGCTGCACAATAGCTTAGGTTTTCATAACTTTGCTGTTGGTACCTATCATGACACAACCAGGGAAAACAACAATCAGTTTGCGTAAAACTAATGCAATGTCAACATGAGATCAAGTTGGTTTTGCACAAACAGAAATTAGCACAACAGTGACATATTCAAATATGTGGTTTGCTACAATTCTCGGTGTTCTTTTTGCTTGCCTGCACAAGAGTTTGATCAATCATGAGTCACAACAGCCCTCTCTGCCAGTCTACTACAGCTCCCCCATCAATCAGTCATCCCTGTAGTGCATTTTCCGCAGTTAGTCCCCCCTCCCCATCTACCATTTTCCCTACAGTGTTCCTCCACATCCGTTCGAAAATCCCCTATTGTGCCTCCACATCCACTACAAAATTCCCCCATCAGATCCTGCCACCACACAGTACACAACGCTTTTCTCCATCTTCAGTGAAACGGCACAGAATTACATTTTATTCTTTTATTCGTCGTATTGGGTTGCAATGCAATTTAGTGTGATGTAATGCATTGTATAAAAAAAAAATAGAGCATATCCTATTTTTATTTTTTTTATTTTGGTGTGTACCACTGCAAGCTCAGCTGTGAACTGAAATAGGAGATGAGGCAGATTGCCTTGTCTCTGCTTTGGGCAAGGCTGTCCAGCGCAGCACAACGCATATGGTGTGAATGAGCCCTTAAGACTAGATCAATATAGAAAAATGTCCTAACAATTTGCATACCAGTCATTTATTATTTCTACAGCGAAGCAGATATCAATCTAGTTTATTTTATACATAGAACATGGGCTGCCATTTTAGGTATTTCTAGTTGACATTGCAATACACTGCAACATCTACATTGTGTTCTGTGAAAATGTATAGCTGAGCGGCGATGAGTGGCCAGGATGAGAAACACTTCTGCTTGGCAGTGACTGAAGAGGGTTTACCATGTGCTGCTGTGCAGATATCCATTTCAGCACAAACACCCTTTTTGCTTGGTACTGTAATCGGCAATATCTGCTGATCCAGAGCTCTGGAGACTGCAGTGAGCTGAAGGGAGTCGGCCTGGTTTTGCAAGTAGTTTTATAGGGCTTAAGCTTATTTCACATGGTATAATATCTGCCTGATAAAAGGCCAAATTATTTTTGAAAGCTTCTTCTACTTCATAAATAAGCAGCTTCTCAAAGGCTGTTTTTAGGTCTATGTTAGGAAATCTGATCAACTTCTGAAGATATCTGTATTGAAACCACACAATGTTAAAATTGAATATGAGCTCAACCTTGGGTAATCCCAGAATGCACTGGTCATACATGAGGTGATTTTTTTAAATTTATTTTTGTTTGTGTGTGTGTGTTTTTGTTTCTGTAAAATTCACTTTTAATATTGTCTCTAGTCTTTTGAATTTGAATACAACCTGCCTGATCAGGATAATTTCAATCAGGTAGAATTTTTTAAAAACATTTTTGGTATTAATTGGTGAAGAATTTTATGTCTGTTTTCAGCTGGAAATTTGGCCTGTAATTTAGGCATAAGACAAGCTCTTTCCCTTCCTTTTGTATCGTACAAATGTGGCTATCAATGATTCTGGCAACAGATCTCTACCTAGTGAAGAAAAATGCAGAAACTGAATAGTAGAAAATGTCTTCTGTCCCTTTTTGGCCTCAACACTTTCATGCAAGGGTGCTGTGTACTGCTTCTTCAAATTCTGTTTAGAAATATCAACTTCCTATAATTTCAGCTATTGTTAGGAAGTGGCCTTTGGGATA